GTCTTGTTGAGGTAAGTTAGACCTCGTGATGTCCACGACTGCCTCCGTGCTCCTGGTGCCCACGCCTGTCCCCGCCCCCGTGCCCACGCCTGTCCCCGCGCATGCCCCCGCCCCTGTGCCCACGCCCGCCCCCGCCCCCGCACCCGTGTGGGAGCTCTGAGGGAGCAGGTGCAGATTCGGGCTGAAGGGAAGGAGCAGGATCCCTGGTTCCACCCCCACCTGAGCCTCCCCAGTCCTCCTCGGATCCCAGGTCATCCGCGTTGCCGGCCCTGTTCCTGGAGCCGCAGTCACTGTCTGCACAGGCAGCATCGGTTTTCCAGTAGGTTTTAAACTCTCTGGGATGCCTGGCTCTCGGCGGTCCCCCACTCGCCGCCAAAAGTTCTAGCTGCTGCAGCCTGTGCTGTGACCCAACCGCACGCCAGGACATTTGTAAGGACTCCATCTGGCGCGCAGCGGCGTTGTGGCTGTTCTTTCCATAAATGTGTTGTCATGAAATGAAGAGTTAGGCTTTCCGATCACGTGAGTTCTCCTGACTTCTCAGTCATCGTGCTTTTGGGAGTGAGGACGTCCAAGATCCCCACGTTCTCCCAGAGCTAAATCACAGCGTCTGGATTCGCACTGTGTGTGTGGCTGGGCCTGGCTCCCAGGACTCTGCTCCTCCGTGGACAGGCCCTGCAAGCCACACGGGGACCGGCTCCAGAGAACGGGAGTCAGCAGGCGGCAGATGCCTTTTTCGTGGAGGTTCACTCTGCACCTTCCCAGGGCGGGGCTCGGGCCTCTGCACCCCCCCCCAGGTGTAAGCAAGCGGACATTTCCCGCGGCAGCTGTGCCAGGGCTGCTGAGCGCTTTGTCTTTCTAACAGGCAGTGCTTTTTGTCGTTGTGTCACGAGTAGGCACGCTAAGTGACCATCTCTGTCACAGCCCGATTCTGGCCGCATGTTAGAATCACCTAGCAGCTTTTCAGAATGGCGGCGCCTGGACTCTACATGTACCAACTAAACACGCCAGACTCTCTGCCATCAGGACTTTTCAAAAACTCCCCAGGTGACACCAATGAGCAGCCAGTCTTGGGAATCCCTTCCTGGCCAGGGCTTCTCAAACCTCAACACCCACACAAGTCCCAGGGATTCTCCCAGAGCGCAGATTCTGGCTCGGTAGGGTGGGGACGAGCTCGGGCGTCTGGGTGTCTCACCTGCTCTCTGAGGCCGAGTCTGCCGGGCCAGGACCACACTTTGCAAGTGCAA